GCGCACGTGTACATCCGCATGACCACGGCCAAGGGCCGATGAAATGGACGTAGGTCAGTTATGCGAAAGCTGTGCGATAAAATCGCTCGTCCACCGACGCGGTGTAAATATCATTTATTCCCGTCATTATCGCTCGCGCGCGCGTGTTATGCAATTAACATGGAGATGTATAATGCATGAGTGTCTGCATCAATGCCGATGGCCATCTCGATTTTTGCATGCGGCGTATACGAGAACCCGATAAAGGCGTAACGCGCGATTGCTATATACGAAATCAGTTTCGCGTGTGTATATATATCCCTTGCATCTGAAAATGAAACACACCTCCATTTATTCTGTTATTATTCTTTTTTCTATCGAAGAATCTGACATTTTTTCCACAAAGAATCACACAGAGCAAACATGTTTTTCAGAGGTCTATTAATATCTAATTTCATTTTAATCCACTCTCGATGGATGTCTATTTTCATGGATGTCTATATTAATGTTATATTTCCAACTCGAGCAAGTTTCCATGCGTAAAAATTTTGACAGATTAAGTTCCCTTTTTTAAATTAGTAAAAAAATTACTAAAAAAATAAAACACACACGTGGAGTAATTTTTGTGCTTCTAAAAGCACACATTTGGAACTGTTATCTTATCCTATTAGTATCTGGAGTACTTAGGGATCATTACAATTCCATTAACAGTTAATGAGAATATACACAGTTGTCTCCAAGCATTTAGAGATAAGAATTTTTATTTTACACGCATATCAGCAAACTTGTCTTGTTGACTTGCGTGCGCTTTTAATTTTTGCACAGAAAACAACGCAATCGAATTCAGTGCGAGCAATTTTCGATAAATGATTTAATAGGCAAGGAATGAAAGGCGAGTCAAAATAAACGACGTTTATTTCTTTCTTAAGATACTGTTCCTAAGCGGGAGCCGAGTAACTGACTTACACACTACGTTACGCGTTGCGTAAAACAGCGCGTGCTATCGTAACGTGGAAAGGTCAGTGTCTCTTTCTCTCGACGGGGACATCGTGATTCGCAGCGTGACGGACGTTGCCCGAAATATCTGCCAGGCGGAAAGTCGGGAGAGGAAGATCGACGATCGCCCAGCTTTATCCGGCAAACGCGAGAGAACGGTGACGTAGAGTGTTTTTTCCTCGTTTTCGGCCACTTTATAGCCGGCCGGATAATTTATGGCTGCTGATACGCGACGAAACGACCGCGGACTTTTTGCCACGACAAAACTAGCTTGTGAATGCGAAAAAAGATGCGTGCTTGATGGTTTTTAATACTTTTTTGGAGAACCTACAATAATGCGGAAAATTACAGAATAAAACGTCACTGTTTGTACATACGCGCTTTTACTGCGTGTTTTTGTAATATTCAGCGGTAAACGACCGTCTGATATTTTTCTAGCACTTACATTGAATGGATTCGATGTAATAAACATAAATCTCTAGCAAAAACCTACGGCATCGGACTGCTATCTAAACTATTTCTCAACACATCCACTATCACAAAAACAAGGCATAATTTTAGGTTTAAAATAATTTAAAATTATGATAAAGTACTTTTACTTTCAGACCTGGTATTTTATAAAAAAAAAACTTTGACAAAATTATTAAAATTCTCTTAAATAATGGCTACCCTTTACACATCATTTTCTCCACTATTAACAAAAGACTACACACAAAATTTGACCAGTTTAACAATATATCATCAAATAACAACAAGAATAATAACAATAATGACAAGGATAATGAGATCAATAGACTCATATGAATAAATCCAAAAAAAAATAATGAGAATAATTCACGTGGATTTTTTACTATACTACCTTACGTACCCAACATCTCACAGATAGGATAAAACATTTTTTTTTTAAAAGAATGCACATATTAACATGGCCTATAAAAGCATAAATAGGCTAAACAAATACATAAAAGTTCAAAAAGATATTCTACCTACTCAATCACAATCTAATGTAGTATACAAAATAAATTGCAAAAATTGTGACGCATCATATGTGGGCCAAACAAAAGAATTTTAAAAACACGCATTAATGAACATAAGAATCACATTAAACGTAACTTTCTGTCATAGCTGCTCACAGATTGGAATTTAATCATGAATTTAATTGGAAAGAGAAGTCAAAATATTGAACAAAGAAGAATTTTTATACAAAAGATTCACTTCTGAGATGATTTATATTTAAAAAAAAGTAACGGTTTAAACATAAAAAATGATACAGAATCTTTAGACCCAATGTATGTCGATTTGTTCACAGAAACATGATGCTTCCCTCTCTTGTCTCAACCTTTATTACATCGTTTAGTTTTATTTTGTATCACATGTATTCGACCATTCTTACTGTCAAGATCTATGTATTTATTGTCGCGCCGCTTATCATGTAAGTCAAATAATGTTAACACAACCACCGTTAATATTTATTATCGTCATATTGTCTAATTCTAATATTTTATTTAACTGCATATAATTTGACTTGGAAATCACAATGAAAAATGCTGATAAAACTACATAAACACCAGAGCTAACTAACATCATGTTATTTTAATTTAAGCAACACTTAAAAATTTTTATATCTACAACATAATATTGTACTGAAAAGAATCGTATTCACGAAACGTATACATTTTTTAACTGATAAATAAATTAACACACGAACATCTAGTGGCTGGCTCTTGTAGGCAATTTCCTCTTTCTTTATGATAAATCTAGGATAAGAATTAGAATGTTTCGAAAATACGAGTTAGTTTTTACTAATAGTAAATAATTCTATCTTTATTCTCTATGATTAGAATTATTCTATGATTAGAATCATATCGTTTCTAATAATACATTAAAACTCTACAAATGTTAACAAGATATTTGAGTAGTGATTCATAAAATAAGTATTTTCGGTGACATTTGTCACACTCAGGTATACAATAAAGTCGGAATTCTTTCTGGAATTCACCACAAATCTAAAACCATAAATCTTTTGAAATCTGATAAAAACTACGAAGTAAATTTTCATGAGAAAGTAAGATACTATATACGTGAACCTGGCATCTTAATTTTCTTAAGCAATTTTTTATTTTAATGATCAGACTATATTTTTCTCGCTTTCTCTCTCTATTTATCCAAAATTGTAGAAGTATTTGAAATCAAAAATCAAAATTTAAAAAAATAGGCGATATTCTTTGCAATATATTAGAATAAATTAAAGAATTTAACGAATTTATTGGCTCGTAGCCCTGTTTTTCTCCATTAGTTTTAAATTTATTGAGCCTTATTACAATCTACATTTAAAAAAAAAATAATTAATGAGTTTCTGCGAAATAATACATCAGTTTCGCACACAAAATGAAGCGATAACTTTTTTGCAAAAATTAAATTGTTGTTAAAAAAAAAATTTAATGATAAATTTTGCGAGACACTGCGCTTGTCATCGCTCGTTTTTCTCTCGCACGTCGATTTGCTTATAAATTATCAAAACGAGTTGTCGAGCCACGATACTGAAGTCGTCTGAACGACGACAGCAACGGGGCCAGGTCGATTGGCAATGTCTGGGCCTGTAATTAGGTTTGCGTTGGTGGTAACGTCATTACTCGGTAAGCTTGCAATTTCCTCGTGGCCGCCGCTTGTCGTCTCCAACCGGTTCCCTTCGTGGCGTTCCGCGGTAGCCACTAAAGCTGTTTGCTCCTGGACCGAGAGCGATCGACCAATCAAGGGACTTGTCTCGCTTGGACCCAGAAGGGGGGGAGGGGGGGGAAAGGGAGGTGGTGGACGAGCCATCCTCATTCAGATAAATTGTACCATTTTTTCATGATGGGGCGTTGCACGAAATGACGTACATGGATTTTGGTCGACATAATGATCGGACGCTTAAACACCACCGTAATAAGATACCTTACATTGTACTGCATTAAACGCAGTAGGTGGTGTCGTGTCAAGGAAATTTTTACATTATCGAATTGTGTAATATAACGACGTCTTGTTACAAGCTGCTGAAATATTTAGTCAGGAAATATTTAATTTTTAAAGACAGATATTAGATATATGTATTTACATACACGTGTGTATGTGCGTGTGTGTAGTAATATAATATATTATATATTATAAAAAACTCCTCGGAACTACTAAATATTAATTTTAGTTTCTAACTTGTCTAGAAAAGATACTGCATTTTTATCCATTTACATTGATATTTACTAATTAAGAAGTTCGCTATTAAACAAACAATACGATAGGACTACGTCTTATTCTAATAATACTACTCTCTAAATTCTTTGGAATAGAATTTTATCTCTACATTTTTTGAAGTGAAATTTTACCCTCAGAAGTTCTAGGAGAGTGATAATTGCGCCAGATAGTCCGGTAGGAACGAATTTTTTCACTCTTAGAAAGTAAAGAATCACTTCAAGCGAGCTTTCAATTTACAATCTAGTCTATCTTTCTCTCTGCAGAATGAAATAAATTTTACTCTCCAAGAAAAGAGACTGAAATTTCAGTGTGGTAAATATTAAGTTTAGCTCCTTTATATCCAATCTTGAAAAAATTAGGCTTATTCGACGACGTGTTTTTTCACGTTGTTTAGAATGGACGAATCTAGCAGAAAAGAAGCATCGCTCTGCTTCGCGAAGCGAAATATTAATTATTAAAGTTAACCTTGTAGATTAGGTTAGGTTAGATTAGGAAATTTACTCTTACGGGATTGGTGCAACTACCACATTTCTGAAATTTTACTCCCAAAAATTAGAGTAATACTCTAAAAAATGAACAATTTCATTCTTTGTCAAAAGACGACAGAATTTTCACTCTTTAGAGTGAAATTCTACTCCAAAGAATTTAGAGAGTATGTAATAATAATGATAAAATAAATGGAAATAGAAATGAATTTCTTTGAAGGAAACTTTAATTCGCGAATTTTTTACGAGCGCTTCTTCCTCAAGGATTTTCTATCACAATACATTAAACTATCATCTTTGTATGTTTTACAGTGGCGTTGCCGTATCTTGTGGGGAATGCAGCAGCAGTGGCACCAGCGATATCACAGAACCGGGCTCACCATGTAGCACCAGCAGCGATGAGGGGGTAGCTGCGATACGCGGCACGTCTGCCAGTCCGCTGCCATCTCTGCCCAAGCTGGCGCCGTCGTCGCAGCTCGGTACCAGGCCCCAGTGGCCCTGGACCCCGCCGTTGGCGGCAACTGCCTGTTCCACTACCGCGTTCAAAAGGCTGAGGGGCGAACCCGAGGCTGGCGCCCTTCCGCGCTCCGGCGCCGCCGATCCCACCTCCAGAGGGGCCGTCAAGGTGAATGGAAAGACTGCAGGCAGCCAGCACCACCACGAGTCCCAGGGCAAGATTACGGAGTACTTTAAGACGCAAATTAAGCCGCAACAGCCGAAGGTTGATATCTATTTGAGATAGAAGCGAATAATAAATGTGTCAGGAAGAAGTATTTTTATGCGAAAATAAAACAAAATGTGAAAGAGACAAAAAATCTTAGATCTCTACATCTTTTCGTAAAAAATGAGTTTTTTCAGTTATCAATAGGTACCCAACTCACACTATAGTTCTTTGTGTTTTGAAAGAAATGTAAGGTAGACTTTGAATGACACGGTTGATACCTATAGTAGGTAGTTCTTAAAACACAAAGGCATCAACAGATCTTGAAATTTAAGAAAGTTCTAAGAGATTTTGACATTTTTTAATTTTAGTTTCAGAACTGCAAATGGATAAATGTTCATACTTTTTATAATCTGAACTTTAATTAAATTTTAATTTAAAGCTTGTAAAAATATACAAAATATTGATTGTAGCCAAACTATGCAGTACATTAACTCTCATCGTTTGTTTAGCGACTTTTGATTTGCAGTTCGTAGAAATTAAGAAAATAAAGGAAAAGTAGCGAAAGAAAATATTTCTTCGGTTAAAACCAATGTAGCAACGGAAGTGTTGAAGATATCGACCGGCTTTACTTCGCGCGAACACTTCAGATACAGACTCATCTTATCGGCGAACACGCGTTTATCGGATATTGAATTAGCCTTTTTTAAAAAGCTCGCGCGTGTAGGTAAGGTCTTTTCTAACAGGTTGATATTAATTCGCGGAAACCGTTCTTGTCCTATCGATCGACAATTTAGCGTGACGCGTTCTCGATAATTCGCGTTCACATCGCACCGTATTTAACGCCAAACGTATCTATGAGGCTAAATTAACATCAGACAAAGCAAATTATTCTTTACATCGATACAAGAAGCATGATAAGTTATTCATCATAATCCAGAGTTTCTTGATAAAGGCTGAATGTTTTTGCCTAATACACGATTACTTTGATGTCACTCTTATCGTGATCCATACGATGATCTAACTTTAGCAAAGAAGCATCGTTCTTTAATACTGAATTATTTATCGAAAAATATTGGGGGCATCGTATAAATATTTGAATAGTGTCTATAATTAATAACTCGTTATACGTTATTTAACGATCATAAAAAAGTTACTTTATTTTTGTAGAACTAGATATGTAAATTCACACTGAAATATTAAATATGTTACGTCGAAATTGAGATTTAGATTTTCTCCGTTTTTAGGGTTAATGCATCTAAGCAATTTACCCGGGGATTGGAGATCAAGTTGTGCGGTTAAGATTCACTGGGAAGTACGGGATAATTGTTCGGAAGGATAATTTTGAACCCGGTGTGAAAAAGCTTACGGAGCTTATAGGCGAGTCTACGTGGATCGGCTTTTTAAATATCTTTGTGATCAGGGAACGAAAAATTGATCTCGAACGGTTGGAGTGAATATATACGCTTTCGCGAAGCGAGCCTACCGGTTTATTTTGATTTAGTAGTTGCGCCAATTTCTGGAAATAGGGGAAAGGATTGTGGTTTGAATTAAGAGCTGATTTGATTTGAAACCTCAATCTCTTGTTGTTTACGTCCGCCTTTGGTAGGCATGAAGTTACGCGAAAGAATTATCGGTGTTCCGAAGGAGTGTCGTAAGACGGGGGCCCACGCTATTGGCAGCGCCGGTCATAACAACCCTCTGAAAGCGTGATAATTATGAATTCTCTGAAGAGGCGGTATTAGACGGGGGCCACGCTATTGGCAGCGACAGTCACAACAGCTCCTCGGATACTCATATGTAATTGAATGAAATTGAATGTAGTTGAATGAGACACTGCAGAGATTTAGGCTTCGGCCGAGTTGATTTAGTATTGTCGTTTAATAAAAATAAAACAATGAGGAAACATAGGAGTGAGTTTCGAAAATTAGAGCGAGGATAGTTCTTACCCACTTCCAGAATAGTTTTCTACCTTTGCTTTTCCTTTCTGTTACTGTTACTGACTTGTACTGACTGACTGACTGTTTCAGCTTTTGTCAGCTCCTTTTATATTTTGAAAATGGATGTAGGAATGTCCTTTCAGGACCAATCAATACTCCTCGAAATTTGGTAGGACCCTATATTCGCGCTTGCTTACCTTAAGATTAGGAAGCAGGACTCCGCGTAAGCCCTACTCTTGGCACTACGAGTCTAGTTTTATCTTAGTAGACGAGAGTTTTAATAATTTATAAAAGTTCGGTCTTCCTTAACTAATATCCTTATGCGAGGCGAAATGTGACGACATGTTCTAAATTATATTAATACTATATATTTTAAATTGGATTAAAATATTTTATAACTTAACATATCATAACTCTTGGACAGATTTTAGTTTCATTAAGAATAAGAGAAAAAAGAAAGGAAAGGAAAAATAAAAGATATTCATCCTCTCTCTCGCATTCGGAAACGTCTTAATTTTTATCATATATTACTATTTAATTATTAGGCATATATGCTATTGTTTAACATTTTTCTAGGAAAAGGCCTTTGAAGGCAAAAAAAATTGTAAAATAGATATTCTTTATCTATGTGACACATAAGGGTATACGAGCGTGAGCTATCTGTTTGTTTGAATGTTTAAAAACTAAAATAGGCCCTCCTATAAAAGGGACGGTTATAATATATAGTTTCAAAATAAAGATAAAATAGGGACAAAATATCAAAACTAAAACGAAATACTAAACTAGAGATAGGATGAAGAAATTGTATAAATCATATATTTATCATATTTTTATCGGGAAGTAACAAATACTAAGATCTAGTTTAGACCGAGTAAGATATTTTTCTACTTGCAATTACTTCTATTATGTGTCAGTCTAATATCACTTATTATTATTTACTTTATTTTTATTTCTTTTGAAAAAAGTTGCGCTGTCTAATTGTCTTTAACGTAATTCTAACATAAACTACCTGTGTTAAATAAATAGTACTAAAATTTGTTGTTATTCTTATGTTGACAGATAAAGAAAACGAACGAAATGGTATTGGTAGCGAAGAGCTCAGAATTTCGAAGGCCACCTATGGTGCAGAGGAATAAAGGCGGTCTCGCTAAGTACTTGGGTACAGTGTCGTCCAACACAAATCGCAGTACTGTAACCAACGAGCCCTGGGAAATGAGAACACTGACGTCATCATCGACGAAAAAGCCGCTGGTCATTGTACCAAGGGCCAATGGCAAGATAGACAAGAAGCTTCCGAAACCACTGCCAAGTCTGCCAATCTCGAACGACGTACTGAAAAATCTGCCCAAGATCTCATCCCTCAGGTATAGATGTTCGATTTATTTTAGCAGTACATCTTAATGCAATAATGCTGATTCATTAGCTAGTCAATTAACTAGCTAATTTTTTGCTATTAAACGCATATTGAGAGTTTGCCAAGCAACATGTGTGTCTAAGAGCTGTGATCAAAGACGTATTTCGGACTTCGTTAAGAGACATCTTAAAAACGTCTTCAAACACTTTAAGACTTTCCGTGTAGCACGGGTTTTGTTATAATATCCACTGTATAATTTATTTTAGTCAAAAGAAATGGAACTTTTATGGTAAGTAAAAAATGTTATCAGATTAATGACTAGTTTTTAATTTTTGATATAGATTAACTTCGGACGCGAGTATTAATTCAATCAAGGGTAGTTCTCCACCCGCTACTGCTGCCTCGTCGCTATTGGGTGAACCATTGGATTTCAAAGCAATCTTGACGAAGCCGCACGTGAACGAGAACAATAATCTGACGAACAGCTGTGGAAGTATCCTGGGTGCGTTAAGATCGCAAAGCGGCCACGAATCCCCTATTTCGAGGTTGTCTTCGCCGTCGAAGGAGGACAACAAGGATGAAGATGGCCAATCGGCACCGATTGACGTTGATGAAGACGACGTTGATGAAGAGGACTCTCTAGGTAGCGAATCGAAACCGTCGCCTATTCTTTCGGCACCGACTACCATTCGATTTCCGGCACGAGCGCCCGAGAAGGATAGATCTCAAGCTACTGATAACGGAATCTGTCGTTGGGACAAGTGCGAAGCCAACTTCGAGTCTGTGGGTGGTCTTTTGGAGCATTTGCAGGTACACAATTAATCATTAGATAATTATTTACCATCGATCTTTTATCTTTGCAGAAAATGTTTGTTAATCAGATCCTCGTCTTTCTTATTTGAAAAATTCAACTCATTAATATAAAATATAGTTTTTGTATACAATTTTTGTATTCTTTATAGGCTGCGCACATCAACACGCAAACCGGCAGCGACAATTTCGTCTGTCAATGGCAAGGGTGTAAAGTACAAGGTAGGACTTCATGTTCCCGGCGATGGTTGGAAAGACATGTTCTATCTCACGGCGGTAATAAACCCTTTCGATGCATTGTCGATGGTTGCGGTTGCAGATTCAGTTCTCAGGTAACACGCGTGTTTTTCTCTCACATCACTGTCGTTATAATATTTAATAAAACATTTAGAAACTAATCTATATTCATTTGTAGATCGCCCTTGAGAGGCACGTGAATGGTCACTTCAATCAGCCGGAAACGAGCAGCACTAATGGAAGACGTAGTTGCGAGAATGGCGGCAAGCTCGTTAGGAGGAATGGCAAGAAGCTTAGATATAGGCGGCAACCTTGGTCTGGTGGGTATTATTTAATTACTATTTTATGTTGCTTATAGATTTGTTTTTTTTTCTCTTAAAAATGTTTTGTAGATTGATAAAAAATGATATACCTATATTAATATTGTGATGTCATTGCAGCGAGACTTTTTGATTACTTTGACTCGGGAGTAATGGAGGGTCTCCAGCACAGGCTACTGGATTTAGCGACATCGAGGACGCAAGGGCGACTAGCTGAAACGCCAGGAAACTCGATGGCACTAACTAGTCAAGTAAGTTATAATTATCGCACCGTGCAGCGTCATAAAGTTTACTGAAACTTATTTCAATAAAATTTCTCTTTCAGGTTTTAGCGAGGAGAGTTGAATTGGACGGAAAGACGAAAGTGTTATTGCGATGGTATCCTCAAGATATGTAAGTTTCCTGAGTAAAAAATAAACTTTAATTATACGAATATCTGAAAGGCTGATGATTCATTCTTATCGTTGCGTGTTTTTTTTTTACAGAGAACCGGATGAATGGGTACTAGAATCCGAAGTACAAAGCACGAAGCATGTAGGTATTCGCAAGGCAGTCGCTAGTAATCCGGAACAAGTGAGTTTGGCTCTCTATCCCGCAATAAGCGGTCACACGCCGCCGACGCTGCGAGCGAAGCAGCGTCGAAAACCAGTAAAGAACTCGTGATAATGTCGGCCGATTGGCCGGATACCAGAACTGACCTAACGAGCACTGATATCTCAAACCTTCTTCGAGATGAAGAAGAATAGAGTGCTGCCGTTGACATGAGCACGACACGGTCTACAACACTTCCTGGTCGGTGAAGATGAAGGCCATGACGATGCGACCTGAAATACCCAAATGTATCGAAAGAGACAAAGACCGCTTTAGAAGATAACTAATCTAAAGATAAATGACCAATATGGCTGGATTAAAAAATAAGAATCGTCGAAGGAAATCGTGCAACAGATAAATTCAGGATGTAATACACAGTAGCGATAAGAACAAGAGATACAGTAGATGGACGAACAAAGAAACGATCATCCGTCCTTCGTTTTGAGGACGAATATGCTCAGCAATGAACGTCGTTATTTATCGATGGATACATCTATTAACGCGCTAGTTTTACGCGAATCCCTGCCACGCATAATTCCACGCTCGTCGGCTTCGGAAGCGCTAAGTTTGGGCCTCGAAAGTGCCTCACCGTGGATACATTTCGTACCGTCTTCTACCGTGATCAAGATCCCAGAGACAGATGCGTGGTGAAAACGGTAGTAAAGGTAGACAAAGACAAAAAGTTAAAAAAAGAAAGCAACAAAAAAGAGCTTTTGTGTATTTGGTTTTGCCAAAGAAAACAGAGGTCGTACACAGAAAAAATATTTAAGCGGTAGTTAACAATTTATAAAAAGATAATCACTCTGGTGGCCTTAGGATTCAATTAATATCTTACATCGGCCCCTTGGCACTTCCGGGAACTGAATATCTTGGCAATCTCCGACGATGCTTCGAAAAAAAGGAAAAGAAGGGAGAAGAAGAGAGAAGATGCTTCTACCTCGATTTACAACTCGGTAGAAACTCGCGTCGGTTGTCGTCATATGATGACACGAAAAGGATCGAGAAGAAGAAACATGAGAAGACGGAAGAAGATCGTGGACAGCGCGAAGCGGACGCAGAAGACTGTATCGGGACTATATGAGAGAAAATTGGAGAAGGGAATTTAGGTTGTTAGGTGAGGATTCATGAGTACGAATGAAAGTATGTATGTATGTATGCGAGAGAGACTGAGTGATAATGCTCCGAATTCGCCGTTATTTCCCTGAATAGGGTGACAGTCTCCCAGACTGAAAAGCTCGGCACGAAATTGAAGGATTGCGGAATAATCGGACGATACGTACGCCACCGAGACTTCTATCGAGGGTTATTTCTCTTCGTTCTTCGTGGAAGTAGAGGTAGAACGGAGAGACGATGTACAAAACAAAATTAAAAAAAAAAAGTGATTCTCAAGGCCCGAGGCATGCTCGAATCAGCTATTGAAAAGAAATGTATGATGTCGAACTTGCCTCGTTTCTGTGCCCGAGACGTGTTCGATTTCTTGTGTACTTCATTATTCGCGTTATTTTTATCTTCCTGCTGAGTCTCGTGCAGCATGTTGGCGTACTCTCGTCGCATTAAAGAACGCAAAATTTAATCAAGTGATAAGATGAAAAGAAACGGGAGTAGGTAAACATGCTGCGCAACCACAATCTATGAGCTGTTACCCTCAAAAGGGGTAAATTACGTACGTAGGCTGTGTTACATTTCCCACGGACTTGTTAAGCAAAGAATGGGTTGAATGGAATGAACAAAGAACGCGACGTGGATTGTTGCTCTTGCGATTCGTGTATGTGACTTTGCAAAAAGAGAAATAAATTTTGCGACAACAAGCTTTTCGCGGACGATCGCGGAGTAGCAACACCGTGCACGTGTGTATGCATAGCGAATAGAACTTCATATAAATTAAGGTTCGCGAAGGAGAAGAGTATGTATCGTGTGAACGTATTGAATGAGTGAGAGTTGATCGAGAAATAGATGAGATTGAAAGATTGACGAGAAAATCAGAATGGATGAGTTGATTGAATATGAATGAGAAATTGAGCGACTGAAAAGAAATGGAGACCGTATGAGACACACAGACAAAGACGGAACGTCATTACACACCAGCTAAGAAACACTGCCAATATAATTGTAATTAAGAGCTCTACGACATTAATTAATTATTCTTATTATTATTGTAAAATATGATTGTAAAACTCCAGATGTAATGCAAGAGAATAGTAATAGCGATAGGAATAACACGACCTATCGGAAACTGTATATTTCAGAGTATCCGATGTCTTTGAGAGGTTGAAATCGTGTTATTCCTATCGCTATCATTATTCCCCCGCATTGTGTCTCGGGCTTAAGTGTATAATCGAATAGATCTCTAGCTGACGCGCGAGGATATGTAATAAGGAGGACATGTAATAAGAAGCGGCTGTTCCGATAATGCGTCGTTGTCACGTTCGTTTCACGATATTTTAATTATATAAATATACTTTTTCTCAAACTGCCCGTGTGTAAGGGAGTGTTCCGTGCACGCGACATACACGGCGCATCGCGAACACGAGGCCGCAAGTTGTAAATGTAAATACTTAGTTGAAATTATCGTAACGAAACGACATATTACATGAATCCTATACTCGCAACTGTAGGCTTGCAACCCGTCACTGCTAAAGCAAGCCACTCGCGAGTTATGTAAAAAAAAGTATGTATATCTCTCTGTATCCATTGATTTTCGAGCACAGCGTTCCCGCGAGGGTGGCACACATACGGCGGTGGATTATTACTTCCTTTTGAAGAAATCGAAAAATGGACACCGAATATAAACGCGTCACTGCCAGAATCACGCACTGCCAACCCCGTCGTTCTAACGACGCGCCTGTAACGTAGTATCTCTCTTTATTACACGAGCATATATTCGTTCGTATCGTGCTTCTAAGAAACTCGTCGTCGGCTCTTTTCTCTTTATACGTACATACATACATACACACACGGCCTAGCCGCAGCCACTGTTCCCGAATTGATATATTCTTCGAGTGTATATCGTCGCTCCTAAGGAAAGATTCATTAACATAATACTTTGTAATTTTTAAAAAAACTAAGTATTGACAAAATTCAGTTTCTATATTTGAATGACATTCGTCGGTTTAAAGCAATTATTCGCGCCTTGAAATGTCTAGAGGTCTGTTCTTTTTCGAAGTAAATTCTGATATGGAATTGACTAATGCAATAAGTTGAGAAAGAACAAATATAATTTGTTTCACTCCAGTGTATAACCAATTCAGAACTTTCTTGGAAAAGAAACAGGCTCTATCTAATTGGAGAGCTAATTTATTTTTGTGGCTTTAAAAATTAATTAGATAATTTATATAGTCTTCTTTAAGATCGACGATATTCTCCTAATGCTCATTTATCTCGCATTGCCAAATTTCATCGAATAACATGGTCTAAGGCACTGCCAGTGAGACATACAGAATAAGACGAGTGTGAAAAGAGATACCATAGATTCTGCCGAGGAGTCCTACCCGCATTTCAAATTGACCTGTATTTCATCGGGACGACACCTCAATGCCATACGATGTCTCATGAGGAATTTTTATGCGTTCTTGACCCCGTTTTGGAACCGAAACGCGATAAAATATAAAAATAAGAAGCAAAGTAGTTAATATATTAATTTCAAAATGTGCACAAAAAACATAAAAATTCGTAAAGTTACTTAAAAAATGTTTGACATATAAGAATATATTATTATATCTTTTAAATGGTTGTGTTACTTTCGAATTGAAATTTTATATTTAATCTTAACTTTTTTTCTTTATCTTTGTTTTATATTTTATTGTGTTTCGATCATTCATCATATATTCACCTAACTTTGTTCTTTTGTGGCGCGATTATCCTCTCTTTGCGATTGTTATTTCTGTCCTTTCACCTTACCAATTTTTTATCGCACGATCTCTGCTCATGTAAAACAAATTGTCAATCAAGATTGTATCGATTAGGCAAGGGACCAATCTTTTACGTACGTGAAAATTTATCTGCCATTTTTGGCATTAATAATCGTTTTCACGGAATATGTCTTTCTTTGCAACCGACCAATTAAATTGATCGTATTTCAAGACTTTTTAGTTGATACGGAACATTTAGGTTTAATTTATTAGAGAGAGAAAAAGAGCTGAGCAAAGATTTCGTTAGTTATTAAGTTTACTCTCTCTGTCATTTTCTTTTTTATCATTTTCTTAATATTAGCCGTAAAGGTGAGACGATAGAAAGAACTTTCGATTGTTTAAATCGTGCTTGATCTCGTGGAATGGAAGAACCGCGATAAATGATAAAGAGTGAAAGAGATGGAGAGGAAAGCTCTCTTCGAAGGTTCTTCCAATTATATTCTCGCGATGTAAAATTAAATTCGAGCGAATGAGCAATATAAAAATGGAAAGGTACAATAAAGATACATTAAGTTTTAATTTTTTAGACAAACTCGGTACGGTACCTTAGCGATCTTGTTTACGATAAGTTTATTCGAGTTGCGAATATATTTAGAACATTCTTGTGTATAATTATGTAATGGAGAATCTAATTCCGATTAAGTATTTTCTACGTTATATTCTTTCGTGCGTTATTTCCCTGTTGTAACTAATTGTGAATACAAGTTACATCTGTGTTCATTGATTATAGTTACACGGACACCTTTAATCGGGTTTAACATTTGTAATTAGGCCAATCACATTCATTTCATTCTTCGGAGGAATAGATATGATTAGCCAGTTTCATAACTACAAATGTTATTAGATTCGATTAAAGGTATCTGTGTAAAGGGGTAGTCATTGTCACTAACCAAGGAAATGAATCGACTGCATTTAGCTAAAAAAAACTTTAGGCTGTGGCGTGGCGGCCGCATTTTTTTAACATGCTCGAATCAACGGCGGTAAATAAATTTTCTTTTATAAACATGAAAGATATTAAAAAGTACATACATGGTCTAACTACATGTGTAGTTATAGCGTCTCGTGTATTTACCATCGTTCGTACTATCGGCCTGCTGACAATTCTAAATTATCGTTGTATTTTCAATATTGAATTTTTTATAATAATAATAAAGAGATGGAAGGCTGAAAAGAAAACGGGGGGTACGCGTAAAAGCGATTTGTATACGTTTGTAATGCACATAATCTGACCGGAAATCATCTTATTTCTATGATTTCTGGTTTTCTTTTTTTTTTTTACATATGTTTCGTGCATTTTTTAAATAGAATTATATAAATCAATCCATGCGATGCTACGCAATGCATTAAATAATATGGGTGTTATAAAGTATAAGGGAAACGTTATAAAGTGTTCTCTAAATTAATTAGATATGTATTACCGTGGAAGAAAGAGCAAAAAATATAACGAAGCGAAATACATAAACATTCATTCTTTTTTTTCCTATTGCGTTTTTGGAAAAAATTTCGCGGGACACACACATACACACACACACACATATACATAAATATATACGTCTGTAGATTTACTTTTTTTGAACGTGCGTGCGAGAACGTGAACGAGAGAAAGAAAGAAAGAGAGAGAGAGAGAAAGACAGAGAGCGAAAGAAAAAACGATAGCTATAATTAATGTAGAACAAAGAAATAATGGACACGAGAAAGGCAAAGAATGAGAGGAAAGAATAAAAGGGGAAAAAAGCGAAAGAAGTATGGAGGGGTACAGGAATTCTGTAAGCATCGTATTTTTGCAAGAATTAGAAGAAAGCGCAAATGAATGGAATACGAAAAAATTAAATTTCACCTGTGAGATTCTCCCTATCTATTTAATCATAGATTTCATTAAAGTAGTTCTAAATATAGCAAATGCAAAGTATCTCATTTTCAGAGAATAAATTCGACTTCTCTTTTCCTAAAAATCCACGCGGAAGACTTAAGAAACGTTCAGAATACTAATTGTATAAATTTTATGTTTAACAAAATTTGTAAAGCTAAAAAATTAAAGACCGACAAATTTATTGGACTTGAACGACACTTATCTAGGAATAAATTTACGTGTACGTAACTAATCTTTTCGCGTGGAATTTCGTGAATCGTTCTGACAAAGCCGAGAGAGCGAACTTCTACGCGTATATGTACACAAACTCGAGGATCTCACATGGCGTTGACGAAAGTAGGAGTATGCGTTACAAACAATGCAAAGGGCTCGGTGCGGCTTTTTAGTTTTCGTCGTACTCAATCGTCACTATACGTGGATGTAGCAGCGTGTCGATAGAAGTTACAAAAGGCTTGTAAATGTATATAAAGGAAAAGCAGCAGCACACCGGGAGAAATGGTCGCAGCGAATATTATTTTGAGCGGGCGGTGGCGGGATGGAGATCGAGAGACATAATTTTTCGACCGGGTTTCTTTGCCGCAGCTCGGGAATTGTAAATAAATTAAATGTGACATAATATACAAAAGGCCCTCCCCCCGAGATATGTGCATATAAATATAGCTTATTACAGATATAGTGTTTGCATTTATTATAAATTCTATGTAAAAGCGTGACGAGAGATTCAAGCAATCACGACAAGGGCCGCCTATATTCTATAGTTAGCGAAACATCATTCGTATATAATCAGTATTAGAAGCGTCTTTCTTCCTCAATTCCAAAGAATTCTGTAAATCACCGCGTATTTTTGTTATTATTTAACTCGTACATTTTATTCGAGCGATTAATTTTGTTTTTTTTTCTATAAATAGAGTATGATATAAACCGTATTATTATGATAGATATCCTTACTATATTTTGTGCTGAGCTCCTTTATCATTAATGATCTGATATTGATCGCGGCCCTACGAGATTGCTTCGATTAGAGAAGTGCTTGTACTTGTATAAAAGTAGGAAAATATATTGCATAGTTTAAACTAATATGGTTTATAGCGTGTAGAAAAAGACTTGAAGTATACAACACGAGCGGGACGACGAAAACTGATGAGCTCACTTACTTACAATTTAGCTTCGTTATCTCGCAAGCCCTATAGGTTCTTAAAAGGAAATGAGAAGACAATATTTCTCGCGTTACGGATGAGGCGGCGAGGATCGAGCATGACTTTCAATCACCCGAAATAAATATATCGGCCCAAATATTTATCCAAACGATCTCACGATTTCTCGTCGCCTCGCCGAGATCGATATAGAGCTTCTCATATCCAACAAGACTCGACAAGACTCAAATTGCGTAGTAAAGAGGGTTGTTTCGCACTGCCAAATAATAATAAAGGAAAAGACAACTTGCGTTCATTGTGTGGATCGACCGATCGTTAAAGCATCGTAAAAGCACCGCCGGTGTTCATTAATCCACATAGTTGTTCTACGAGAAAGAAAAAAAAAAAAGGAAAAATTCGGAATAAAAGCTAGGAAAGAAACGAAGAGCGCGTAGGAGCTTTTCCCGAAGTTCGAGCGAATGAGAGACGAATAAGAGAGAAGAAATATCCGAACGTCGAACAGTGCTTTGTCTTTTTTGGATATTTTCATGTACAAACACGAATGACAGTTTATAGCTCAAGAACAGAACATTAAAGAGATAGATATTGTAAGAGAATAATAATAATTTCACGGTTGCGATATCGTATTCTTGTTGTGTCTCTTTACTTACCATTCCCGAAAATGATGACAGATTCCTAATCTTTAGCCAAATCGAGTATATATCTTTCTTATTCTTATTTTGACCCACCAAGTCTTTAGTTCGATATTTCATCGCTGAAACATTACGAATCGAAAATTTCCTTATAACTCAAACTTAAAAACAAAAAAAATAGTTACAAGATTTCGATTAAAAATTAAATGTAAATAGAATTTTAATTCCCCGTGCCGAAATATGGAAAGTTATCGCGACGCACTACATGAACCAGTAGCATTACATCACGATATTACAATTTGCCACGCAACAAAATATAAATGTAATAGAATACATACTGTACGGAACAGTTGAGTAGAAAATTATATAATATTGATGTAATGTTACTGCTAATTTGCATTCTGCAGGTATTGATAAGTTTCAAAGAATTGCATAATGTTGGACGTTGATTAGGGCGGAGACTAGGTATACCTAA